AAAACATTGGCTTGAAAAGCAGCACAGTGTAAAATGTATTTACCCCCAACTCTCTTTGCACAACACAAAACCCTTGCTCACCTCGTCTCCCCAACCCTTTCCTCCACCATAATCTGTTGGAGTTTTTTTTTTTTTTTCTCCTTTTCACTGCAAATCAACTTGCAGACTATTTGTATTGAAAATCCTCTTGCAGGCTATCATTTTTAATAACAATGTTTAATAACGATGTTCAATGCAGAGTTATGCCAGTCTCCTGAAGAGATCCAATTCCTGGAGAGTTTAGTCATAACTACAACTTGTAACTTGTGGTAGAACTCCGACTTGTACCACGTGATCGCTGTACCACCTGACCACTGCAGATTCATTTGCCGTTGATAGTGTTGCCATAAAACCAATCAATCATCTCCAAATTACGGTTATTATTACGACGTCCAACCCTGATCAAACACACCTGAACAAGCTAATCAAGGTCTTCAAGAATAGGCTATATTAGAAAGCTACAGACAGGTGATTTCAATTAGGGTTGGAGTTGCCCAGAACTCCAATTGGATCTTTAAAAACGCATTTCCAAAAAGTGCTTTAAACTCTTTTCATAGCGTTTGCTGTGGGACTCAGGTGGTATTTTGATGCAGCAACAGGGTTGTCCTTTGTAGTTTTGTGGTCCTCGCTGTCCGCCCCTGCTGACTCACTAATTCAGTGCATCTTCCAGCAGAGTTGATTGTGAGATCGCAGGTCGAGAGGATGACAGTTCAAGTGTACTGCTTGTTTAGTGCGGTTTTATTGGGTCTGTCTGCTTGTTGGAGCACAACACACGCTGGAGTCCTAGGTGAGAATTTCTTTTAGCTTCATCACGCAGGCCAAAGAAGTGCATAAATGAAGTGCCTTACAAAATTAGAATTTAGACGCATCTGCTTACGAAAATGCAGTACAGACGTCAAGTGGAAGTTCAACTCTGTGTGTTGGTTTAGTTTTAATAGTAAGCAAAGTGTAGATATGCGAACCGTCATATGTTTATGCATTTTTCATTGTACAACAATTTCATTGTTTTAAGAAATTCATAAGCCTACAATTTAACATGGGGAGCTAATTATAACCGATAACTCTGTGATGTATATGTATATATGCGTGTCTATATTTGTTTTGTGTTCTCTTACGAAGCCTACAAAAATGCTTAAGGGAAATGAGGGTGGTCATGGGGATGGCATAATATTTGGAAGCTGTATACAACGTATTAACTGATGTCCATGTTTTCTATCAGCTTTGCACTATTACTAACTCTACTATAGTGGGGTAGGTTGTAACCGCACTCTCAGTCTTGGAAACCGATTGATGCACTTTAGTGAAAATGGTGGATTTCTAAGCTACATTGACTTGAAGCAGATAAATGTGTGAATATTATAAAGTTTGAGACTCATTGCAAAACCCCTGACTTGCTAATGCTGAAGCAAACTATTACAGCACTTCCTGGTCTCCCCTAATGATCCACTTCAACCCTCTTCTGTAGTGTCCGGTCGGTGTCCGGCGATGCTGACGGTCACGCCGTCCCGTCGAGGATGCACTTCTGATAGAGACTGCTCTGGAGGACACAAATGCTGTCAATTTCCCTGTGGGCGCTCGTGTGTGCCGCCTGTTTTCAGTGAGTTTTAATTAATGGATGCTATATGTCTTCCAAAAAAAAAAACTGCATTTTGTTTCTCTCAGAAATTTCTAGTATATTTCACAAATAATTGCAAAGAAACCGCAAGCAACGCATTGGACTAAATGTGAAACTGAAGTAGAAAGACTGAATATTCCGGAAAAACCATCTTATGGCGACTTTTTTCATACAGCGAATGAGACATTCAGTGTTCAGTGGCTTCAGTTATGTTGCTACCATTCAGTGGCAGTATTCAGTTATGTGGCTTCTCTGTCATGTGTCTCTTTATCAGCAAAGCCAGGAGAGTGTCCAAGCAAAAAAATTGGAGCAGAAACGTGTGACGATTTGTGTCACTATGACAGTGACTGTCCGAACAATGAGAAATGCTGCAGCAATGGATGTGGACATCAGTGTATGGCTCCATTTGCAGGTATTTATGTTATTATATTAGTGTTTGGGTCAGCTTCCTCATTTCAATTTGTCCTGGTTTAGAATTAATTGTTCTCAATGTAAAAGTGTTCAGCCAATTGCACGGTTTCGAGCACAGGATGGCTTTGCAAAATTAATTCTTAATACGATTATTTATTAACACGATTGATTAATAATTAAGGAGTAAAACTTACTATTTGGGTTTGGTGCTGTATCTGAGAGTGAATGCCGCTAAACTGACAGACTAAAGTTGACCATTCGTATCCATCCAGTGAAGCCTGCAGCCGAACCTCCGAAGCCTCCAGTGAGGCCTGCAGCCGAACCGCCGAAGCCTCCAGTGAAGCCTGCAGCCGAACCTCTGAAGCCTCCAGTGAAGCCTGCAGTCGAACCTCCGAAGCCTGCAGTGAGGCCTTCCGACGAACTGTCCGAGCCCTCCGACGAACTACCAGAGCCTTCCGACGAACTGCCCGAGCCGCCAGCAGCCGAACCCACAAAGCCTCCCGTCAAGCCTGCAGTGAGGCCTTCCGACGAACTGTCCGAGCCCTCCGAACTGTCTGAGCCCTCTGACGAACTGCCCGAGCCGCCTGCAGCCGAACCCGCAAAGCCTCCTGCCAAGCCTCCTGTGATGCCTGCAGCCGAACCCGCAAAGCCTCCTGCCAAGCCTCCTGTGAAGCCTGCAGCTGAACCCGCAAAGCCTCCTGTCAAGCCTCCAGTGAAGCCTGCTGCCGAACCTCCGAAGCCTGCAGTGAGGCCTTCCGACGAACTGTCTGAGCCTTCTGACGAACTACCGGAGCCTTCCGACGAACTGCCCGAGCCGCCTGCAGCCGAACCCGCAAGGCCTCCTGTCAAGCCTGCAGCCGAACCCGCAAGGCCTCCTGTCAAGCCTGCAGCCGAACCCGCAAGGCCTCCTGTCAAGCCTGCAGCCGAACCCGCAAAGCCTCCTGTCAAGCCTGCAGCCGAACCCGCAAAGCCTCCTGTCAAGCCTCCAGTGAAGCCTGCTGGTGAATTGGCCAAGCCTCCTGTGAGTCACCCTTATGGCTAATGTCCTGGCCATAAGTTATGTGGGTATGCATGCAGTTAACTGTGCTGATTTAACCATTGGATGTGTAGTGTTTCCTGTATAGCCAAATAAATCTCACTTTTATGACTATTGCCTCTTTTTTGTTCCTTTTAAGTGGGAAAACAAAGAATTTTTTTTTTTTTTTTGGTATGCCAGTGTTCGTTTGGCTGTTCTCTCACATAATGGTTCATTGGAATCTATGCATGAGATCCCACCCTCCCTCAAAAAGCATAAGAGCGCGCATAGCAGAGTCTGCAAAGAGTTAAGAGATGAAAGGCTGCGTTAAATTGCTTCATGTCTCAAAATGCGTAACATTACAGTGCTAATGAACGTAAACAATGTGCAGTGCTCTAGTTGTATCACCTGACTGATGCAGATTAGTTTTGCCATTGATGGTGTTGACATGGAAATGCATAAATCCAAGTCTGAATCCAAATGCAATGATTGGACAAATTTATTTATTTATTTTTTTTTGGTCCTGAGAACTTTACAGAAGATATGTGCATGTTTTAATATTTGGAATACTTTTATTATTGATTGCTATAGGGTGTAAAGTTTCAACCAGTATTGCCAATTGACCAATAGTCTTCTGCATTCTTAATGTTCAATGTGTTTGGACATCAGTGAAGACAATGGAGACACTATAGGAGCTGAAGAGTCATGCTTTAAATCGCTTATGCAGAGTTCACACTGACTACGTTTACATGCAGCCAATTGTCGGGTTAAGGTCACTATTTGGGTTTCTGGAACATTAGGAATAACCCGTTTACATGCGTGAGCAGAGAGAGTTTCTCCTGTATACATGGAATTGCAGAATCCTGATGTAAACGGCGACGTGCGGTTAGCGTCTAGACGTACGGACAACTTTAAGACGCAATATGCGTCATTTCCGATTCTTCTTCCTGTATCCAAAGACTATAACAACAGCAGACAAAGCTGAAAATCGGTCCGACGCGAAAAAGAGTCGCACGAGTCAGAATTCGGCTCAAAATCGGACGAAAATCGCACAGTGTATGCCCGCCTTAATTGGTGATTCGATCACACGGAACGTGAACATGGAGACACCAGCCACCATAGTCACATGTTTGCCGGGAGCCAGTAGTAGTTGATGACATTTAATATCCAATAATATTATTGATATGTGTTGTATTATATTCATGTTATCAATGTGAAGCTGTTTTGATACAATCTGTATTGTAAAAAGCGCTATATAAATAAAGGTGACTAATACCCTTGATCAGCTCTACGTGGATGCTTTTCCACTAAGTTCCACTAAACAAACATTGTTATTAAGTTTTGATTGATAATGTGAAGCTGCTTTGATGCAATCTATATTGAGAAATGCGCTAAATAAATATACTTGGCTTGAAAACATTGGCTTGAAAAGCAGCACAGTGTAAAATGTATTTACCCCCAACTCTCTTTGCACAACACAAAACCCTTGCTCACCTCGTCTCCCCAACCCTTTCCTCCACCATAATCTGTTGGAGTTTTTTTTTTTTTTCTCCTTTTCACTGCAAATCAACTTGCAGACTATTTGTATTGAAAATCCTCTTGCAGGCTATCATTTTTAATAACAATGTTTAATAACGATGTTCAATGCAGAGTTATGCCAGTCTCCTGAAGAGATCCAATTCCTGGAGAGTTTAGTCATAACTACAACTTGTAACTTGTGGTAGAACTCCGACTTGTACCACGTGATCGCTGTACCACCTGACCACTGCAGATTCATTTGCCGTTGATAGTGTTGCCATAAAACCAATCAATCATCTCCAAATTACGGTTATTATTACGACGTCCAACCCTGATCAAACACACCTGAACAAGCTAATCAAGGTCTTCAAGAATAGGCTATATTAGAAAGCTACAGACAGGTGATTTCCATTAGGGTTGGAGTTGCCCAGAACTCCAATTGGATCTTTAAAAACGCATTTCCAAAAAGTGCTTTAAACTCTTTTCATAGCGTTTGCTGTGGGACTCAGGTGGTATTTTGATGCAGCAACAGGGTTGTCCTTTGTAGTTTTGTGGTCCTCGCTGTCCGCCCCTGCTGACTCACTAATTCAGTGCATCTTCCAGCAGAGTTGATTGTGAGATCGCAGGTCGAGAGGATGACAGTTCAAGTGTACTGCTTGTTTAGTGCGGTTTTATTGGGTCTGTCTGCTTGTTGGAGCACAACACACGCTGGAGTCCTAGGTGAGAATTTCTTTTAGCTTCATCACGCAGGCCAAAGAAGTGCATAAATGAAGTGCCTTACAAAATTAGAATTTAGACGCATCTGCTTACGAAAATGCAGTACAGACGTCAAGTGGAAGTTCAACTCTGTGTGTTGGTTTAGTTTTAATAGTAAGCAAAGTGTAGATATGCGAACCGTCATATGTTTATGCATTTTTCATTGTACAACAATTTCATTGTTTTAAGAAATTCATAAGCCTACAATTTAACATGGGGAGCTAATTATAACCGATAACTCTGTGATGTATATGTATATATGCGTGTCTATATTTGTTTTGTGTTCTCTTACGAAGCCTACAAAAATGCTTAAGGGAAATGAGGGTGGTCATGGGGATGGCATAATATTTGGAAGCTGTATACAACGTATTAACTGATGTCCATGTTTTCTATCAGCTTTGCACTATTACTAACTCTACTATAGTGGGGTAGGTTGTAACCGCACTCTCAGTCTTGGAAACCGATTGATGCACTTTAGTGAAAATGGTGGATTTCTAAGCTACATTGACTTGAAGCAGATAAATGTGTGAATATTATAAAGTTTGAGACTCATTGCAAAACCCCTGACTTGCTAATGCTGAAGCAAACTATTACAGCACTTCCTGGTCTCCCCTAATGATCCACTTCAACCCTCTTCTGTAGTGTCCGGTCGGTGTCCGGCGATGCTGACGGTCACGCCGTCCCGTCGAGGATGCACTTCTGATAGAGACTGCTCTGGAGGACACAAATGCTGTCAATTTCCCTGTGGGCGCTCGTGTGTGCCGCCTGTTTTCAGTGAGTTTTAATTAATGGATGCTATATGTCTTCCAAAAAAAAAACTGCATTTTGTTTCTCTCAGAAATTTCTAGTATATTTCACAAATAATTGCAAAGAAACCGCAAGCAACGCATTGGACTAAATGTGAAACTGAAGTAGAAAGACTGAATATTCCGGAAAAACCATCTTATGGCGACTTTTTTCATACAGCGAATGAGACATTCAGTGTTCAGTGGCTTCAGTTATGTTGCTACCATTCAGTGGCAGTATTCAGTTATGTGGCTTCTCTGTCATGTGTCTCTTTATCAGCAAAGCCAGGAGAGTGTCCAAGCAAAAAAATTGGAGCAGAAACGTGTGACGATTTGTGTCACTATGACAGTGACTGTCCGAACAATGAGAAATGCTGCAGCAATGGATGTGGACATCAGTGTATGGCTCCATTTGCAGGTATTTATGTTATTATATTAGTGTTTGGGTCAGCTTCCTCATTTCAATTTGTCCTGGTTTAGAATTAATTGTTCTCAATGTAAAAGTGTTCAGCCAATTGCACGGTTTCGAGCACAGGATGGCTTTGCAAAATTAATTCTTAATACGATTATTTATTAACACGATTGATTAATAATTAAGGAGTAAAACTTACTATTTGGGTTTGGTGCTGTATCTGAGAGTGAATGCCGCTAAACTGACAGACTAAAGTTGACCATTCGTATCCATCCAGTGAAGCCTGCAGCCGAACCTCCGAAGCCTCCAGTGAGGCCTGCAGCCGAACCGCCGAAGCCTCCAGTGAAGCCTGCAGCCGAACCTCTGAAGCCTCCAGTGAAGCCTGCAGTCGAACCTCCGAAGCCTCCAGTGAAGCCTGCAGTCGAACCTCCGAAGCCTGCAGTGAGGCCTTCCGACGAACTGTCCGAGCCCTCCGACGAACTACCAGAGCCTTCCGACGAACTGCCCGAGCCGCCAGCAGCCGAACCCACAAAGCCTCCCGTCAAGCCTGCAGTGAGGCCTTCCGACGAACTGTCCGAGCCCTCCGAACTGTCTGAGCCCTCTGACGAACTGCCCGAGCCGCCTGCAGCCGAACCCGCAAAGCCTCCTGCCAAGCCTCCTGTGATGCCTGCAGCCGAACCCGCAAAGCCTCCTGCCAAGCCTCCTGTGAAGCCTGCAGCTGAACCCGCAAAGCCTCCTGTCAAGCCTCCAGTGAAGCCTGCTGCCGAACCTCCGAAGCCTGCAGTGAGGCCTTCCGACGAACTGTCTGAGCCTTCTGACGAACTACCGGAGCCTTCCGACGAACTGCCCGAGCCGCCTGCAGCCGAACCCGCAAGGCCTCCTGTCAAGCCTGCAGCCGAACCCGCAAGGCCTCCTGTCAAGCCTGCAGCCGAACCCGCAAGGCCTCCTGTCAAGCCTGCAGCCGAACCCGCAAGGCCTCCTGTCAAGCCTGCAGCCGAACCCGCAAAGCCTCCTGTCAAGCCTGCAGCCGAACCCGCAAAGCCTCCTGTCAAGCCTCCAGTGAAGCCTGCTGGTGAATTGGCCAAGCCTCCTGTGAGTCACCCTTATGGCTAATGTCCTGGCCATAAGTTATGTGGGTATGCATGCAGTTAACTGTGCTGATTTAACCATTGGATGTGTAGTGTTTCCTGTATAGCCAAATAAATCTCACTTTTATGACTATTGCCTCTTTTTTGTTCCTTTTAAGTGGGAAAACAAAGAATTTTTTTTTTTTTTGGTATGCCAGTGTTCGTTTGGCTGTTCTCTCACATAATGGTTCATTGGAATCTATGCATGAGATCCCACCCTCCCTCAAAAAGCATAAGAGCGCGCATAGCAGAGTCTGCAAAGAGTTAAGAGCTGAAAGGCTGCGTTAAATTGCTTCATGTCTCAAAATGCGTAACATTACAGTGCTAATGAACGTAAACAATGTGCAGTGCTCTAGTTGTATCACCTGACTGATGCAGATTAGTTTTGCCATTGATGGTGTTGACATGGAAATGCATAAATCCAAGTCTGAATCCAAATGCAATGATTGGACAAATTTATTTCTTTTTTTTTTTTTGGTCCTGAGAACTCTACAGAAGATATGTGCATGTTTTAATATTTGGAATACTTTTATTATTGATTGCTATAGGGTGTAAAGTTTCAACCAGTATTGCCAATTGACCAATAGTCTTCTGCATTCTTAATGTTCAATGTGTTTGGACATCAGTGAAGACAATGGAGACACTATAGGAGCTGAAGAGTCATGCTTTAAATCGCTTATGCAGAGTTCACACTGACTACGTTTACATGCAGCCAATTGTTGGGTTAAGGTCACTATTTGGGTTTCTGGAACATTAGGAATAACCCGTTTACATGCGTGAGCAGAGAGAGTTTCTCCTGTATACATGGAATTGCAGAATCCTGATGTAAACGGCGACGTGCGGTTAGCGTCTAGACGTACGGACAACTTTAAGACGCAATATGCGTCATTTCCGATTCTTCTTCCTGTATCCAAAGACAATAACAAAAGCAGCCCGCGGATAATGAATAGTTCGGGGCAGAAAGCTATCGCCTTTGTTTGCGCTTTGCTGGTAATGTTACCGACCTCGCTCCAAAAGTATGCTGTGCTGTGTCTCGCCATGTTTACTTCCGGTATACTGCACGCGGATTTTTGTATGCGCTGAGAAGTTTCTCTACTCAAAATACCAAGATTCCTTGCGAATAGAACATGCGCAGAACACAAATCACTATGGGGATATGCCGATACGCGTTTACATGACCAAAAATTCGGGTTAGAAAAGGGGTACTCCAGGTATAATATCCCGGTTTTTAAAATCTTGCATATGAGCATATTCGGGTTTTTGCCAGTGTTTACATGGCCGTTCGCGACCGAGTTATTGCTAATATCCCGGTTTTGAACGGGTTATTGGCTGCATGTAAACGTAGTCACTGAATGATTTTCAATCGCCGACAGGTTTTGGGAGATTGCCAACAAATGCCCGAAACCATAGGCAAATCGGTACTCGTTCACACGAGTGACAATCATGCTAAATATTTGGGCCTGTTGGCGACTCAAAATCCTGCTGTGTGAATGTATTCTGACTGAAAACTACAGGACAGCGGGATGTTCTGGGAAGAGTAAGACCAGAATATCAGTATTTTTTAGTAAATTCCATCAGGCATTGTCACCTGATGGAGTTTTAGGACACCATTAGACCACTTGATGGAGTTTTTCGGTTCCTTGCCACTGTTGCCTTTTGGCTTGCTCATTTGGGGATATTCAAATTAATTAACCAATCAGTAATACTTCCGTTACGATTCGCATAACAAATCGACTTGCCCCACTCAGTGAAACACCAACTGAGAATCCCCTTGATTGTGCCCTGGTAATTGGTGATTCGATCACACGGAACGTGAACATGGAGACACCAGCCACCATAGTCACATGTTTGCCGGGAGCCACAGCGCCAGACATCGCAGCAAATTTAAAAGGGCTGGCTAATGCTAATCGTAAATTCTCTAAGATCATTATTCATGTCGGCGCTAATGATGTTCGACTCCGCCAGTCGGAGATCACCAAAATTAATATTAAAGAGGTGTGTGAACTCGCAAGTACGATGTCGGGCACTGTAATTTTCTCTGGCCCCCTTCCTGCTCGCAGGAGTGATGTAGTCAGTAGACTGTCCTCACTTAATCGTTGGTTGTCTAAGTGGTGTCCGCAAAATAATGTAGAATTTATAGACAATTTTGAAAAGTTTTGGGGGCAAGTCTGACCTGTTTAAAAGAGATGGTATTCATCCCTCCTGGGCTGGGGCTGCTCTTCTCTCTAGTAAGGCCGTCTGCTAGTGGCCTCGCGTCACCAAGGTCAGATAAATCCCATCACATAGAGGCTCTTTCACCTAGATATATCATATAGAGACTGCGTCTGTTCCCCGAATTTGGATATCCAAAAAAGGTCAGATTAAAATTCTAATTGATGTTCAACAGATATAATACAGATGAGCAAATGATAAAGCTTGGGTTGCTGAATATTAGATAACTTACTTACTTACTTACTCTCATAGTTAATGATATGATTTCAGATTATAATCTAGATGTTCTGTGATTGACAGAAGCCTGGCTAAAACCAAACGATAACATAACTTTGAATGAGTCCACCCCACAAGATTACAGTTATAAACATGAACCTCGTCTGAAAGGCATTGGTGCTTAGTGTAAAAATATAAATGATAAATCACGTTTGAGAATTCTGGCACCAGGGCACCATACAGATTTTATCAAAGAATTTGCAGACTTTCTATCCGAGTTAGTCCTGACTGCAGATAAAGTACTAAAAAGTTGGTGACTTTAATATACATGTAGATGAAAAAGATGCACTGGGATTGGCATTTAAAGACATTATAAACTCAATTGGAGTTAGACAACATATGTTCTCTAGATCTAATATAATCACATGGAATAGATGTTGATTCCGTTGAAATTCAGCAGCAGAGCGATGACATCTCAGATCACTATCTAGTCTCATGTAAACTTCAGTTAGCCAAAGCAGCAAAGCCGACTCCGTGTTATAAAATATGTTAGACCTCTATAACTTCTGCCACTAAAGATTGCTTTATCAATAATCTTCCTAATCAGTTTCATCATCTCAGCATCATCTCAGAAGTACTCGATCTCGTGACAGAAACTTTTAACTCTCTCTTTGCTAGACGCAGTTGCTCCGTTGCGCTTAAAGAATATTAAAGAAAATAGTCCAACGCCATGGTACAACGAGCACACTCAGGCCCTTAAGAGAGCAGCCAGAAAAATGGAGCGTTGCTGGAAGAAAACTAAACTAGAGGTATTCCGGATTTCATGGAAGGAGAGCTCGATCACATACAGAGATGCCTTAATTCAATGCTGTCCACTTTAAAAAATTAAAGTAAACAAAAGTTTTAACAGCATTTCATTAAAAGCAGTTGGCTGGAAAAACTAATAACACTGGTATTTAATTCCCATTTGGCAGATATGTACTTTTACTGTGGTACTGTTATTTTCTTAATCTTAAACCAAATGTTCATAGGGCTGGTGCGAATACCATTTTTTGAGCTTCAAAGCTTCGGTAGTAATGAACATCGAATATTCGAAGCTTCAGAATCTCTATATGGTGCAATGTAGATATACAGGCGAGACGCGACACGTTCAGAAAACTACAGAACAGCGCGAGCGGGAAGCGGCGCGCCTCACACGAGCAGAACGTACGCTCCGAGAACGGACACTGCAAAACACACACATACACGTCTGTTAACTTATAACTGACTAACAAATAACTAACAAAGTAGAGTAGATTTAAATACAGAAGCGGCGCGCGCGCCTCACGCGTGCAGGGATTATGCTCTGAGAACGGACACTGCATTAGTGATATAAAATAAACACACACAGGCCGCCTCCATCAAATTTCGTGCCGCCTCCGGTGTTCTGTCGATCTGTCCTACCTTGTCAGTTTTTCCTACCATAGTGCAAAATTATAGCCATATCTATCGGTTCATCCTACCACATCGTAAAATACTACTGCGCATTTCTTCTTCGCGTCTGTGACTACATAAAATATTTCAGTGTAACTTTGCCGAATATTCTTATTAGGCCATGTTACAGTGATTTTAGAGCGCAAAGTAACGTTACCTCATCAAATTGTCCTGAAATAAATGGGCAGGATGATTTTACAGTGCAAAATACCTCATCAGATTGTCCTACCAGTATGAAATAAACAGGCAGGATGATTTTACGGTGCAAAATACCTCATCAGATTGTCCTACCAGTATGAAATAAACAGATAGGATGATTTGACAGTTTAAGTTTCTAATCTGTAGTCCCTGGACAGATGTTGCAAATTTACTCTAAACCAGATGATAAATTGAAATAAGAGTAGTTATTGAGATAATTTATAATCAAGCAGATAGAATATATACAGAAAGGAGATTATTAATCAAATTAATTTCAAAATTCAAAATCATGCAACACAGAGGCACAATACAAAACAAGTAAAACAAAATATGAACACTGTACCTGAAAATAAAAGAGATGAATAGATATGTAAATTAGTTCATTTAAAACAATATAGAATCTGAAAACATAAAAAGAAAAAATACTTTTTCATTTAAATAACAAAATTCTACAAAAAAACATGGCACATAAAGCTTAACTACTGCTTTTGGGTGTGTGTATTTGTCACGGGTGACAAAATCGCTCAGTAAACGGAACCTTCTTGAGAGTCCCAAGTTTCCTAGGGGAACGTATTGGGTGCAACACTCCACTACGGTTCCGGGTGTGATGGAAACATGCCCGTACTGATTAGCGCTAATGCATGGCAGGTGTGAGAGAGAGAGGAGCGGCGCTCACACAGGCTTCCTGTTTCATAATCCACAACATAAAAGGAGCATTTAGAGAGTGTTTGCAGCGTGGTCGGTGGGTGTACAGTGTGTCAAGATTCCAAAGGGTTGACAAGAGCAGACATTAAAGTGGGTTGACTCTGGGCAGTGCTGGATACAGGCTTCCTCTGAAAAATCGTTGGGGTGTGGAGATCACCCATTCGAGTTTGCTGGGTCAGTGTGATCGTTTGTGGGAAGACTGCTGGACCGAGCTAGGACTGGATCTGTGCTGTGGAAGGAGAGAGGAAAGATAAGTGAATTGTTTTCATCTTATGGACATTTGAACCGCTTGAAGAGGATATAGTGAATGTGGATCTGACTGTTGGAGGAGCTATGTGTTTCAGAGTGTGATGAGGAAGAAGTAAAAGTTAAAACCCCTGTAAGCGAGCGCAACGGACGGAGTGGGGCCTCTGTACCCTATCGTGTGAATGAATTCCAGTGCTTTTGCCCCATTAATACACATTGATTTACTGCTGTGGAATTGAAGTGAACACAAGTGTGCTGTGTCTTTGTTGAGAAGTGGCCCCTATCCATGCTTGCATGTTCGTGGAAGGATACTATATCTGCCCCCGTCAGAAGCCCAGAGTGATAGTGAACTGAAGAGAGAGTACTGTGTACTGTGAATGTCTTCACCTGTTCTACTTACTGTTTGAGCCCAGAAGCATACAGCATCGCTAGTAAAATAATCGTTTAACCCACTGTCGCCCTACTGTGAACTGAGGAGAGAGTACTTTGTACTGTGAAGATCCCCACCTGTTCTACTTGCTGTTTGAGCCCAGAAGCACACAGCATCGCTGGTAAAGTAACCTTATGACTCACTGTCTCCCTATTGTGAACTGAAGAAAGAGTACTGTGTACTGTGTGAATATCCTCACCTGTTCTACTTACTGTTTGAGCCCAGAGGTATTGGAGCTCATTTGGGCACAATTTGGCACCATCTGTGCCATTTGAAATTTCTCAGGTACCAAACTGTAAAACTCATTTGATTTCACTTGCATGTCACTATAGCTATTTATTCCATCTAAAAACAAAAGTTTTGGCTTTGTTTTGAAAAATCAACCAGACCTCATTATAGTTTCCCATGCAAAAAAGACATACGAAAGGAATAAAGTTTGACTCTAAATGGAGCAGATTTATTCAAAACAAACTGAAAACAACAAAACTCAGAATAAATAAACTGGTGAAAAAAAAGACACACACACACAAAAAAAAACACTAGCAATAGCTAGATCTGTTATCCTGATACCACTAATGGCTGTCATGCCACTCCTGGAAACAGTTTTTCTTTGAGGTAAGGCACAGAGGGACCTGACACTTCCGGCAATATATGGGGGTTTTTACTCTTTGGATGCCAGCCTCCTGGCATCTCCTGCAGTACCGCCGTGCTTGTGTGGCATCACTCCCATAATACATAGGCATGCAGGTGGGCTGTTGTGGTGGTGGTGGAGGAGGTGGAGCTGCTGAGGCCTCAGCAAAGCTCAACATTTCTGCAGCCAACCTCTCTCTGAAGGTTTTCTGTGTGAGAGGCTTCGTGAGTGTGGGCTCGTTCCTCATCTTGAACAGCTCCTTTTGCAGAAGGAAACTGTTCACCACAGCGATGTCAATAAAATGGTAAAAGAAAGTCTTGTACCACTTCATTGTCTTGTGGTGCACAGTGTAATAGCCTATCAAGGCATCAGATACATCAACACCACCCATGTTCTTGTTGTAGTCCACCACAGCGTCTGGAATAGGGATGTACTTGGTTTTCCACACACCAGCCTCTTTTACCTTCCTCTTGACAGTGTGTCCACTAAAAGCCTCATGGATAGTGGAGCACATGGTCACCTCCCGGGTATCCATCCACTTCACAAAGAGAAGTTTGCCATCTCTTATCCAGCGCATATCTCCCCGGGCAGCCTTTTTGTGGAGGTCGTTTTGTGCAGTATGTGGAAACCCAATAAGATTTTGCCTGATGGTCCCACAACAACCAATGTGTTTTGTGTACAAGTCCAGAAACAGGGCAGGGCTAGTATAAAAATTATCAACAAACAAATTATAGCCCCCACCAAGCAGTGGAAATGGCAAAAGGTCCATGACTGAACTGTAGCTGAGACCATGGCCTGTGGTGTCCACACTCTTGCCGGCATACACAAAAAAATTCCATGTGCACGCTGCATCAGTTGCTGCATCAGCCAGCACAAAGAGTTTGTAACCCCACTTTGTTGGTTTGTCCTTCATATATTGTTTCATGCTGCTGCGGGCCTTGGACGCGACCATCCTCTCGTCGATGCAAATGTTTTTATTCGGGTGGAAGTTTGCTTGGCAGGCAGTCACCATCTCAGTGTAGAGAGGCTTGATCTTGAAAAGCCTGTCGTACTGATCCGTGCTCCTCTTCCGCTCATTCTCCTCGTCTTCTTCTGGGTTACTCAAATGCAGGGACCACAAGATGGCTTCAAAGCGGTCCCGTGACATCTTTTCACTTGGGAAGTGGAAGTTATATGGCCACGCCTTCCGCCAGTAGTCAGATCTGAGATGCACCTGAACAAGGCCTGTATAAATTATGATGGCCATGAAAACATAAAATTCCTGTGCCGTCAGCGCCTTCCACACAAACTTAATGCCAGCCTGTAGTCGCTTCGCAGCATTGAAATTTGTATTGTCAATTATTGTCCTGACCACAGATGCACTAAAAAAAAGCTGGAACAGTGTGAGGGGAGACCATGATGCTGTTGTATCAAAGGTGGGGCCTGGGGTCCTGGCTGGCATGAATCTGGGTGGGTCAGGTTTGTTGTCCTTCTCCTCTCTGTTGTGCCACGGCTGCTCTTGGGGCCCGTTTCAATAAGGAGGTTCAACCAACTCTGAGTTAAAGCTTGAACTCTGAGTTGACTTACCCTGAGATGGGAAACTCTGAGTTTTCGGTTACAGAACAGCTGAAATTAGTTAGTTCAATCAACTCTGAGTTGATTGACTCTGAGTTAAGCGCGTGCACCACAACTATAAAAAGCCATTATCAATAGAGCTCAGATATTAGGAGTCACCATGGCAACAGCGTCAGACAAAAAAAGGTGTGCATATTTCTCACCAGCGGAACTGGATGTGCTAATGCAAGCATATGCAGAATTTGAACATGTATTTATTACGCGGCGAAGGAGAGAGAGTTAGCTTGGGAGAAAATAGCTGCTCGAGTCAATGCGTAAGTTTACATTTTAATTACTTTTATACACTGTTGGGTGTAATGAATGAAGTTACTAAGTCATCTAAATACTGTAATTAAATTAAAGACTATAAAACAATTGTGTATAAAACAATAGTGGATGTAATATCAAATTTTAAAAGGTATATTTTTAATTTAACTTTCTCCCTCTAGTTACACAGTTTGATCAATTTAAGAATAATTTATGCAATTGTATATTGTTTATTTGAAAGCATTAGAAGTGCAGTTTCTTGTCTCTCCTTGTATTGTTCAAGTGGTTTAGGTTAATTTGGGCTTTAGAAAGAAATTAATAAGTAAGTAAAACAAATTAGGAAGTAGACCACTTTCTAGAGATAGTAATTATTACATTAATCTAATTAGACTTTTTGAAGGTAAAATTTATAGTTAGTAATTAAGAACTATTTTAGAGTAACTTACCCAACTGTTATAATATCAGAGGTGAAACTGAAAGAACAGATTTTATTAAACCTAATTTAATTTTCATGGATAGGTGCAATCCTGCAGGCATAAAAAGAACATGGCAGCAGCTGAAAATGAAATACAAAAACATACTTCAAGCAGGTAAGCCTTGAGCCCATCATAGGAGTAGAGTAGCTACCTCGCTTTACAAACATTTGACATATTAAATGACTAAATAGCATTCAGTGTCTAGCAGTGCCGCAGCATTTTTGACATGGGTCTAAATATTCATTCTCATTTGACTTCTACTCAGCCAACAGAAAGAAGGCAGAGGCTCGCAAAACAGGGGGAGGACCTGCACCACCACCTCTGTCAAATGCAGAAGAGATGGCCCTGAGCCTAAATGCTGGAAGGCCAATGGCTGAGGGAATACCTGGAGGGACTTCGTCAGAGCCAGTCACTCCAGAAGACTTAAGTGCATTAATAATATGTAAGAGATCTACCTACAGTATGTGTAATTTTTTATATATAGACTAAATGTGATATTTACATTTATATTACTTTGGGTTGGGTTTTTTGTTGGTCCCAACAGATTCTGATGGTAATATCTGCCTCTTGGAGCCTCCTGTCCCAATAGTACCCTATACAGTTGTCAGTAGCCTACTCCATACACCATCAATTATGACAAATGGAATTATAAAGTGTACTCTATTAAATGCTCATCTTCACAGGATGATGGGGATGAAGAAACCATTTCTGCTACCACAGACAGGCCTACAGAGGTAATTTTAATATTATATGTTTACATATCAAACAATCTACACATTCACATTTATATGTGGAGTAGCCTATAGAATCTAAGTTTCTATATAAATGGTTATTCTTATCTCTACCCCCAGAGTGTGGAAGAACAGCAGGAGGAAGGTCCATCAACTTCTGGTGCACAGATGAACACAGTTCAGTGATTTACAGTAAATGCCACAGTTTAATTCTGAATTTTAGACTACATTCATGATGTAACTCTAATCTAATGTATTTTCAGTTGCCAGTTAAGGAGTTATATAGACTTCTTCTTATTAAAAAGATAGAAAAAAACAGCAAAGAAGTTGTATACTTGGACCGCCAGATCCAAAAGGCAGATCTGGAAATTGACATTCTGAAACTAAAGCTAGAGGTGAGTGTATGGTCACAGGTGCATTCTAGGAAGTATTGTAACTATTTTAAAATCTTTTTTTCTTTTTTCTTTTTAGCAAATGAAGAACACCATATAAATTGCTGTGATTTTGTTTATTAATTATTTTATTTTGTGGTTGCATTTCTATGAAATAAAGAACACCATAAATTGCTGTGATTTTGTTTTTATTTTTATTTTTATTTTTTTATTTTTTTGGTGGTGGTGGTGGTGGATATCATGTGTATTAATCTGAGAAGACATTGCGGCATATCATATCCCGGACTACCCTTCCATCCTGGAAATCTGCAGGGTTGATGGGGTCTTCCTCAGGGTCTTGTAATTGTAGGGCAGGGTGTTGGTTGCTCCCCTCTAATTATGGCAATATTATGGAGAACAACACATGCCACAATAATGTCGCAGGCCCTTTCAGGGGTTACCCTGAGGTGACGTAGGCACTGGAAACGTGCTTTCAACAGGCCTATGGTCATCTCCACCCGGGCTCTTGTCCTGCAGTGGGCCACATTGAAGCGCTGCTGTGGGCCTGGTTCAGGTTCTGGGTAAGGGGTCATAAGATTTGGTCGGCATGGGTAACCCCTATCTCCCAGCAGAAAGCCATCAATCTCTCCTGTAAGAAAGTTCACATTGCTTTAGAGCTGCATAGAAATTCCCCTGTAAGTGTTTAGTGCATACATTAAAATATGTGTATAGGATATATATTTACTTACCCCTTTCCAGTCTGTTGCTCAGGGTTGACTCCCGATAGATTCTTGAGTCATGAACAGAGCCGGGCCACTTGGCCTCCACATATGTGATTATATGTGTAGCATCACATATGATCTTGACAGTGCAAAGAATGAGAGATGTTAAAATTGTGGTGTAGTCTTTGACCATTAGAAACAGTAGGCTGTCAGTGTACCTGCACATTAATACTGTGGATGGATCTCCTGTTCACATAGTCTGCTTCATTTTCAGAAGGTGCAATAATCGGAATATGTGTGCCATCAATGCATCCAACCACATTCGGAAATCCTAAAGGGAATTCTAATTGTTCGGTTACTTCCCGGGGTAGCAGCAAGATATTATAACTGAGTGTAATTTATCAGGTTAGCCTCATTTAAACACTTAACATTTAAACAGATTTATACACCACTGACCTGCAATCGTGTGAAACTCCTCTTTGATGACTCTCACTGGTTTGTGCCCAGGAAACAATACAAAAATTCCCAGAAAGCGCTTAAGAGCGAGGCACACTTTCCTTACTGCTCTGCAAACAGTAGCCTTACTAATATGTTCTGCATCCCCGATGTTATAAAGAAAACTTCCATTCGCAAAGAAACGTAAGGCAACGCAAAGAATCTGCTCGGATGTAAGAGCACGGCCGCGATGGTTGATGTTTCTGATGTAAGGATGGATGAGATTATGGATGTACCTTATTGACTGTAAAGAAAAACGGTAACGCTCAAATAAAAACGAATAGGGATATGACAAAAAATCCACTCTGGGCCTCAAAATCCTCTCCCGACGTAAATGTAACTCCCTACGAAGTAATACTGCCTCTTCGTCAACAGGATCATCCATAAAAGGACATGCCATTTCATACCCTTTGATGCGCTCTGCGTGACTAAAATGTGCGCAATGAATATGTCCCCAAAGAATCAATGGGGTGTTTAAACAGCACTTCCTCTTTAAAAAAGGGGAGGAGACCAAAATAAACTCTGGGTTTTCTGAAGAAAACCTGCTCCCGACCAGGTTAGGTTCACAGAGTAAGTTACCATGGTAACTGACTCTGACTATAAGTTACCTCTCTTTCAGAAACGGGCTTGACTTACCCTGCTTTCTCAGGTTTAACTTACCTCCCTTTCTGAAACAGAAAACTCAGAGTTTCCCTCATTTCAGGGTTAACATACTCAGAGTTTTCACTTAACCTCCTTTCTGAAACAGGCCCCTGGTCTCTTGAAGTGGCAGACCTACTCCGACCACGCTTAGGTCTAGCTGACTTCTGTAGTGCTTTCCCCTTTCTTTTTGGACGGCTTTCTTGAGGCACATCAGAATCAGATGAGGTGGGGGATGTGCTTGATGGCTGTGGTTGAGGTGTTGATGGCCTTGCCTGTAGCTGTGGTGCAGAAGCTCGTCGGGGGGTGGTGCGGCGTGGCTGGGGCAGAGGTGTTGATGGCCTTGGCTGGGGGGGGGGTGGGCTGGTGCAGAGGTAGCAGAAGATGAAGGCCCCTCATAATCTTCATCATCACTGTGAAACAAAGGAGAAAGAAAAACTATAAAGATATATTCACACTGACACTGTATTTGAACAGAAATGATTCACTGTTACCGAAAACTGTAACCCACTGACTAACTGAAATCCCTAGAAATGTTTATAGAAGTTTAGAGAAATAACCCACAGTAACTGTAAACACTAGTACATTTTGTTTGTACTGGGAAAGTAAACAAACAATCCAGTTTGAGTGTGTGGTAAACATGTTTGGACTTAGAAAGTAAGCAAACAAACAATCCACTTTGAGTGTGTAGTAAACATCTTTGAACAAAGAAAGTAAGCAAAAAAGCCAGTTTGAGTTTGTGTATTCAGACGCTTTGTCCATATTTTTTACGGTCTATGATCCATTCATTGTAGGGAAGCTAGAAAGCTAACTAGAAAAACGGTCATTTTACACAAATAACAGTGAAACAGCTCCGTACTTTGATACCAACACGAGAAGTAAATTATAACAAAACGTATTTCCCATACCTTTCGGATGTCGGCAGTTTATAATCAGGATCAGAAATGCCCTCAGCAACAAACAGATCTTCATCCTCAGATGAAGAGTCAATAGCACTGACTGGAGCTTCTTCGTCCGCTTGAATCATTGCCAGTGCTTCGGCGGCCGACATCTTCTTCTCCCATTTTCTCTGTGCCATTATTTCTCCGAGAAACGAAAAGGAATGGCTCAATAGTCAATATTATAATCCACGAGTGCAATCAGTGAATTCAGGTGTGCGATCAGCTGCGCGCTACGCTGTGTGTGCTACTATTCTCATCCGCAGAGCGATCCTTTGTATTGGCTGTGCGCGCTGCGTCATGAAGGCAAACGTCCTACGCGCATCCATATCTCGGCAACCGATTGGTCAATTTGGATGATTGACACCTCTTTCTTATCGTCAGAACCAATAGAATCGATGGCATTTCGCAAAATCCGCGCAAACAACACCACTAGCCAACCAGGAGCCGACACACGCATTGCGTAAGACTAGCACGTTTCACCCCACTCCTCATGCGCAGTCTGTTTCCAAAGCAGGACATAGTTGCAGACTGTCCGGAATCATCTCAAAGTGACACAGAGGCATCGGAGTAATCGCAAACACAGTTGATATGGCATTGTACACATTTTTTATCTCAAGACAGCAATCGAAGACACAATTCATAGTGGTAAATGTGTAAATAAAAGTTTTTTTTGTTGTTGTTCACTGACTGTTTACTTCGTGAGTTTTTGTCGTACAGTGATGTGAGTTAGACTGTTGGATTCTGTGGAGCCTCCTGAATCATTTGAGTGGTCGTTTGCCTTCATAGATCAACATCAGAGAGATTAGGAGTGCTGTGACTACTGTCATCAACGTGTTTCAGACAGACAGTGTGTTTTACAATAAAATTACTCAATTGCTTCGTGTTTGATGTGTGTTTTGTTTTGGCGAAAATGGATAGCATCATTTTTTAGCGGAGTTCTGTCTGATTACGGGGATATGCGGCATAGTTAGGTTGCGCTTACACTCTTTGAAGTGAAAGGACATAAAAGGCGCTAAGCCCCGTTGCCCCCGGTACCGGGGGCGGCCGTTATTAAGAGTCCCACTGTCACCCTACTGTGAACTGAAGAGAGAGAGAGAGTACCCTGTACTGTGAAGAATCCTCACCTGCCATACTTGCTGTCTGAGTCTGGAAGTCTGCGGCACCGCTGGGGGAAAAGTAAGCTTTTAATCCACTGCTATATTATCGTGCACCAACGAGAGTACCCTGTACTGTAAAGAATCCTTACCTGCCATACTTACTGTCTGAGTCTGGAAGTCTGCAGCACCGCTGAGGAGAAGTAAGCTTTTAATCCACTGCTTCATTACCGTGCACCAACGAGAGTACCCTGTACTGTGAAGAATCCTTACCTGCCATACTTACTGTCTGAGTCTGGAAGTCTGCAGCACCGCTGAGGAGAAGTAAGCTTTTAATCCACTGCTTCATTACCGTGCACCAACGAGAGTACCCTGTACTGTGAAGAATCCTTACCTGCCATACTTACTGTCCGAGTCTGGAAGTCTGCAGCACCGCTGGGGGAAAAGTAAGCTTTCAATCCACTGCTTTATTACCGTGCACCAACGAGAGTACCTTGTACCGTGAAGAATCCTTACCTGTCATACTTACTCGTGAGTCTGGAAGTCTGCAGCACCGCTGCAACCCCCTGCTCCATTATCGTGCATCAACGAGAGTATCTTAAACTGTGAGAAACCCCTGGTTTAATAAAGATTGTTACTCCTTTAAAACTTATATCTGTCTCTGTGGTCCTCTGTGGTGTGCCTGTGGTGTCGGCTCCTCACGGTGGTGACTCGGTTAGAGGGGGGGGGGTGGTTGGTCACCCGAGCGTTCCTCCCCTCGACCTGTGACATATTATAAGTTGTATACCATTTCAATCATGCTTTCATTGGGGTCGTCTTCCAGCATGCTGCAAATCACACAGTACTCCTCTGCATTACCTATACATTTATTAACATTAAAAACAAATAAATATGAATTCATTGGACAATCATATCATAGTGTACTAAATGTCAACATAAATGCCATGAAAAAAATTTCTCAGACCTGTTCTGAAATTACATTAAATCAAATCATTCATGCATTACTTTTTGCATCCTTCAAGTTATTTTCTACTCGGAAAAATGTATTTAATCAAGTAAGAATATCCAAATCTACAGAGGGGATAGAGAAGAAAATTATAGAGTGAAGATAGCATCTACAGAGGTGTACTACATGACACACTGTACATTACAATACATACAATTACTACGATATTACAGAATTAAAGCTATGGTATACAATGTTAAAAATCGGTTGAGACGGTAGGGAAATTTTTAAAAACTCATCCCGCCCCTCCACACACACCCTTCTCCCCTCTGTGCTACCTGATCCCTATGTCACATTTGAGTTCACGTCAACGCAAGACGTCAATGCAAGATTAGCAACACATGAAATGTTCTAAACTCCCCACCACCATTATAATACTACTAGTATTGCTAAGGTTTTCAGTAATTGTTATTGCAGCACGCAGCGCATCTTGTTCAAATTCCGATCGGCTCGAACAAGAAATATAATTACTTTGACCCGTGATAGGCGTTGCTAAACGGCTAACATTCAATGCCGACCGGCAGCATGAGCAAGTTGTCAAACTGATAAAAAGCCATGTAACACGTCACACCATAAAAGAATAAATAAATGTTTACCTGCTCAACAAAAAGTTATCCGTGTCAGCGTCGTTTTCAGTCCCAGCTCTCCCTGAAGCTTTCTCCAACGGTCAATGAAGGACGCTATATTTATCCTACTTAGAGTCCGGCGTTTTTCACATTTATATTTAATCTCTGATCTTTCCTCCACAGACTTTCTCTTTCGTCCAAACTTTACAGTAGGGGCAAGCAGGGGCCGCTTGCTGTTGTCGTTTATATTTTTATCCATTGCATTATCCATTGCTGATCTGACGCTACTAGCTAGTCTGTCAGCTGTTTGCTCGCCATCTGAGGGGGGCGGGGGCGGTTGGGTTGGAGACGTGAGCACCAGGCGGAGTTTTTAAGTGGAGCTGGTGATTGGATGAGAGCAGTTGACCAATATAAACTGTGCGGCCGCACAGCTTACATTGGTCAACTTTTCTGCGGCTATACAGCCAATAGAGTGAATGGATTTTTTAATTCTTTTTTCTATTCATATTGTTAGGATTGTACTATATAACCATATCCAGCATCTAAACAAGGATATTAATAATGAACAATCTTTGAAATCGTATACCCTAGCTTTAAAACAGTACTCACCTGGACATCAGTGTGCAGGCTACTTTCATGCGTGCTGAGCTGACC